AAAAAAAAAAAAGGAGGTAAGATTGAAGAATTGGCCCCCCGGGCCCGGGGGTTTGGGAAATTTTTTCCTTATTTTTTTTTCCCAACACCTTAGGAATTCATGATTTTCCCCAGTTTTTGTCCACTTTTAATCCCTCTCACCAAGGGGGGCCTTGGTTAAAACCCCCCCCCCCCCCCCCCCCCCCCCATTCTCTCGCAATAATACGAGTGGTCCAGTATTCTTCAATTTTCCCGAAAGGAGCAATCAAAATACATGTTGAACAAATTAACTAACTTTGCACGCATCTTCTCGATCTATTTGACTCTTATTTATTTTTATACCGCGCGAAGCGACGAAGACCAAAAGCTAGGCTATTTTTATATCCAGACATCAGCTGAAAAATGCGTGCTTACAGCGCAGCTGCGATGACTTTTGACCCCTGCTCGATCTAGATTTCTTGGTCGAGAAAATTTTTTCGGTCAATTTCATCGGTTAACCGAACAATTTTGCATTTAACCGATCATTACTCGACCAAGATTTTTCGCTTACTCGCACACCACTAATTCTCACCCGGTGCGCGTGTCAACAAATTTTGCGTTCACCCTAAACCACAGAATTCTACACTGTGATAAGAGAAAAATTGTAGAATTCTGTGCTGTGAACAAACTTTCCATTACAACTGTACTTGTAGCCTACTAAAAGCGTACAATTTTGTCTGTGGGCAGGGGAGAGAGAGAGAGTGAGAGAGAGAACAAAACAAAATGGCGACCCGCGTAGTTCGGCTCGATTCGAAAAGTTAAATAGCCGTAGCATCTTTGTAGACAACCAAATTAATTTACTTTTGTGTTTTAACATAATTTTTTAACTTTGTTTTGGTCAATTTGATCGTCCACACCGATAGACAGTATTCAGAAAGAGACACAGAGAGAGAGAAGAGGGGAGGAGTAGATCTTGCGAGAACTTCTGGGCGGGTGAGAATAGCCACTTTCAAATATTAATTAACTGAACCCAAGTTCCCGCACGCAGGCAGGCCACAGAGAGAACACGTTGTCTGTTGGTTGGGGTGGCAGTTGCTGGGGTGGGGTGGGGTTGCCAAAAAAGGGTAAATTTTTACTTTCACTCCCGCACACATAATATGCTGCATGCACTGCTTTTATTTAAAAAACTATTAATTTGCGACGGAAATGAAGTTGATATCTCATGTTCAGTGCATCAATAGGATAGGGGGCCTATTCAGTAGAAAATGGACAACTGGTGGAGCTAGATCTAGAATCTAGATTCTAGAGATATATCTAGATATATTAGATATTAGATTCTAGATCTAGATCTAGGTTTGAGCCGGGATGGAAAGTAAAAAAAATACCCAAAAATGTGTACCACGACGTTTTTTGTATGATGATTAGTGTGTATTTTTTTACTTTCCCTCCCATCTCACACTTAAGCTGCTAGTTGTCCATTTTCTACTTTTAAAAAATATGCGCTGAACACGAATTTAAACTTCATTTCTGTCGCAAATTAAAAGAGTCAAACCTGCCCTGACGACCACCTCTATAAGACGGCCACCTGTACAAACGGCCACTTTCCATTTCCCCCAAGCCTTGCGTTTTTTCTATCGCAGGCTAGGTTCACGGCGCCGTGAATGTAGTTGGCAAGCTACGTTCACGGCGCCCTGAATGCAGTTTGCAGGCGCTGTTGAGGCTACGTTCACGGCACTCAAGCTTTGTTTAGATGGAGCGTCCACTGCTGGTTTTAGTCAGTGACTACAGTGACGTGTATATTTAATATTTTGGCCAGCTTCAAATGTTCTCTCTCTCTCTCTCTCTCTCTCTCTCTCTCTCTCTCTCTCTCTCTCTCTGTGTGTGTGTGTGTGTGTTCGCGTATTATGTCTTTGGCCCAGAACGAGATATTCATTCTTTCATTCAAACTATTTGCAAACGTATTTCATATCAAGTATGCATTTTTATACAGTAAAGAGATAAGGAAAGTTGATAGCACGGTTATTTTTTTTTTCTTGAAACTACGAGACAAGAACTGAAAACGAAAGCTCTCAATATTATTGCCAGGTCTCGTTATCTGAGAAACTCATTATTGGTCAATGTTCCCTTTACTCAACTTTACTGTCTTATTTTGTTCTGCACCAAAACTGCGCTTGTGTTTATATTTACAGACAGACAGACACAGAGATTTTAGATCAGTTCCTACACTCAATTCATTCTTTTGTTTCAGCCTCATATTCGTCTCTTTCAATGACATTTGCTGATGCTGATG